TGCTTTGAATTCCACAAATACCTATCGGGTTGTCTCCAGGCGCCATGGCGGCAAGCAACACGCTCCACGGGAGAACTTCCCTGATGATAGTCGGGAGCAAAAGATCAAATAAATGGAAATTAAAAACAGCTATCCGTCAAAGGAGAGGTGTTTGAGCCAGTCAACAGAGAGCAGGGTTGACGACAGGTTAGATCTGATGAGTTGAGCAGAGGTGCAGGCGTGCTATATAATGTATCTCTCTCCCACTCTCTCGCTAGCTAGCTCCGTTTATCATCGCAGATCACAATGTGATGCTCATCAGCATCGCGTGTTTAGTCTGCTGAAGCACGCGATCGTGTCCCCCCTGCAAGGAGCAACCATCTGGTGCTAATACGCATGCGCTGTTTGATCACCTACAGAATAACGCTTGGAAAGTATTAAAGGGAGATGTTGGGGCACCCAATCACAGTACACGCTCAAATAAACCAATAAATATATATATAAAAAAAACCAAGGTGGATTTTTTCAAACCTTTTGTTGATTTAAGGATCTTTTCGGGAGGGGGATCTAAAATATTGAGTTGCCTGTGGGAGATTTGTATCTGTTTTGATAACAAGAAATATTATTCAGATATCTCGGCATTTTGAATTGATCATATACACATTATGACAATGTTCTTGTCTGCTTGTGTTTTCGGGACGCGAGATTAATACCTCAAATTTGATTTAGTGCATGGTTCTGGTTCCGGAAAATCTATCATTTTGAAACTACTTCCTGATCGGAAAAGTTCTACCAATCTGTCATGTTGTTCGGTCCACACACACAAAAAGCTCTGAAAAATATAAACCAGTGAGAGTTTTAAATTAAAATCAAACTTACATTTGATATCAAACTAGGGAAAAAGTATTTTTATGTTAATATTGTCACTACATTTTACTGTATGTATATTTAAAAGAAGCCACAATTACAACCAAAATAGATTAACATGCACAAACTCTTTCCGTGTAGTGATATCACCAGATTATGTGTTTCAAATTTCTCCAGACATGCGTAGCCGAAAACTTTCCCAGGCTTTCAATTTCCCACGCTCTCCTTTCGGGAATCGAATTAATTTACTCGGAATCGAAGAACACCTGTTTGCCTTGGTTGACGTGCACTAATTGCTTGATTAATTATGCAAATTCCGTAAATATCATTTTAAGGTATAGCCCTGCGTAATACCACTGTTTTTTATTTGTTTAAAAGCAGACATTTTGCATGAGGATTATTTTCCTACGATTGTATTAAGTTTAAGCTTTCTCGCCTTGTAACCACCTGGCTTTTAATTAATTCTAAATCCTCTCCGGGCATTTCGCTGCGTCATGGGATTATTTCCGATTTCAACTCAGTTTTTTTGGGAATCCGTGATACTTAAAATTTTACTCCGTTTGCACTGAAACATGTAAAAGTGATTATAAAACGGAGTGAAACCGATTGCAAAGAATACAAAACACGCTGTGGAAGACTTTTTGAAAAGGAGTGACCATTCCTCGGGAAACATAGTTCGAGTCTGTAGGTATAAGGAATGTTATGAGAGTGTGATGTTACTGGGTTATAGTGATGCGTGCAGTGCTGTGGCCTCGTGGTTAAGGGCACTGGATTTGTGGTCTGTGGGTAAAGCTGCAGGTTGTGGGTTCGAGTCCAGCCCGGGGTCATGGTGCGTGTGCCCTTGGGCAAGGCACTTTGTCGCTCATTGCTTCTCTCCACACAGGAGTAAATGAGTATACCTATGAGGGCAGGGATGGTTATTGTGATTGAATTAGCTTCCTTGCGCCTAACAGGCTGCATCGAGCTGAGATGGTATTTGGAATGTTTAATTGGCCCAATGATCAGGGGTAATAATAATGTAGAGCGCTTTGATCTTTGTTAAAAGCGCTATATAAGAACCTGCTATTATTATTATTTTTATTTGAACTACGTTATTAATTTACGTATTATTGGATGTCTAGATATATTTTTTGAAAGCGCAGTCTTGTACAGTCTGGTCTTTGCTAATATTAGGATGCAAACGTACATACGCGGCTGTGATCAGGTTCTATCGATTTTCTTAGAGACAAGCTCGTCCCGCTGAAATGGTGACTTCGATAATAATATGAAACTGTGATTTATATTGCCTCGATCTTGATGTCCTGATGCTATGACAACAAGTAAAAAAAGTCGATCGTTGCCATGGGAGCTAATAAAATTAATGGCTGTTGTTTTACCAAGGTGTCTGAAATCTGGCAACGGCTTGTTGGGAGTCCAGAATTATGTGCTACATATTCTGTTTGTTTTTGTAACACAGGGACATATGTTCCTAAATGTTTGCCAAGATCAATGTAACAGCAATGTTCACCTACTTGTTCAGGATATTTCAAAAATTCAATTTTAATGGTGTTAAAATATTGATATTTAAACATAAGTGACGAAAAAAATGATTGCAAATGCATATTTTGTATCTGAGATATGGTCGTTTTAAACATATCATGTGCCAAACCTGTTTGTGCACGGACGGCCTTATTCCATCCGCTTGACTGAGCTCCGGAGCTTGATTTGAAGATAAAAACACTACACTAGACTTACACGTGGACAACTGTGATTTTGGTGACTTGTATTCAAATTAGCATAATAACACTATTCTTGCGATTTTTTCAAAGACTCGTTTTCACCACGTATGGTTGAAGAGCTATTCTTCGCTACACTAAAAAAAACCCAGTTCAAATAAGTAAATAAGTTAAATAAGTAGGTTAAAACTCCAGTCAAAAGTGGGTTTTCTTCTTTTTGCACAACCCTGTAGATTGATGCCGATGGAGGCTTCATAATAACATGTATTATCAGTAGGCCTACTATTGCTACAATTATTATCAATAAAACCTGGCCAAAAATTCCCACCGATGCAAGTACTTCGCCTGCAGAGGGAGGGCTCTAAATCACGGACTTTTATGCAACAAATCTACATTTTGATAACAGTTTTGAAATTTAGCCACAAGAACTGCATTCAAAAAAATAATGATAGATAAAAAAGGTATAATTTTTTTTTCACATGTGGCGTTGAATGTAAAAAAATCGATAAAACATGTGGATTAAGTTATGATTTTATGGGTCCGCTAGACCGCTACGTTAAAACTAAACTCAGATTTCAGAATCAGAGACCATACTTCAAATTTTTACAAAGCCTCTTCTTTCGAGATTACATAATCAGAACAACTTTCCGATCTCTGATGTGAAAAATCTTCATTTTTGGAACCCGCGAAGAGAAATGAAAGCAATTACATTTACTAAATAGTTCAAGTCTGCTTAAATGAAATTAATGATTAGAAATTTGTAATTAAATATTCCCTAATGTTCTAAGACAGTTTAAAAAAAAAATGAAAGGAAAATAAGGCTGCATAAATAGTCTGGCGCCATCCCATTCAACAGTTAACAATTTATGAAATACATTCAGGGAACACGACAAAAATGGCTTGGGCTCATGGTTTGGGCTGCGCACGTCTGTTTTAAAGGCTTTCCCCGGCTGTAGGCAGTTTTAATTATAGCGTTCAGCAGATCTAGCCAATCACAAAATCGCACTCGCACATTTTCTCTGCCGCCGGTTCCAGACATGACAGACAGTGGTGTATTAATTCCTGATACTTCCCTAGGGCTTTATCTCCATTGGCAAACCCTGCAGAAGGTACAACCCAAAGACCTTTTTCAATTCACGTTTTTTTACCTCATTTACTAGTTGCTTATGTTGTATTCTTTTCCGTGTTTTGTTTTGTACTAATCTCAGCAAATAGCTGTCATTATGCCTAATAATTTGTTCGTGCTCTCAGGCAAAACCCAATCAATCCAGCATAAATTGTTTTTTTTTTAATTTCTCTGCCCGAGTAGATGGCCAACGGACATTTGAATTTGTCTTGACAATTAAAAACGAAAGCAAGTCTTCATATTTTTGTACTTTTCAATTTCCATTGTTTTTTTAAGCGGTGTTAGTTTGTGTGATTTATTTTTTATTTAATTTAATATATTATTTGAGGTATTTTCAATTTCTGTTTTTCTGTTTTAAAACTGTTAGATTGTGTGTTTCGTTTTTATTTATGGTATATTTAATTTCTTTTTTTTTTTCTGTTGAAAGCTGTGATTTGTGTTTCATTTTTAAAGATGTACATGATTAATTATAGTATTTTTTTAATTTCTCTTCAAGTTTTATTTTTTTTCCTGCTCAATTTCTGCACACAAACCATCTAGGCAATGAGGCTGAGAACTTCAAAGAATTTTTATTAAAATAGTTTTATACCATTAAAAATTGCACCTCATCATAAAGGCCACAAATCTTGCTTCCTGCCTCTAAATTTACGAGCAATGTAGTCAAAATGTATCAACAGCAATGTATGACACAACGCACGGCACAACGATTTAAACATTCCGTTTTAAAAATAATGACTTTCCCGAAAATGCCTCGAGTTAAAGAATTCGTCCTCGTTTGTAATTTCGCTGGTAAATGAACTTAATTGGTGGTTGAGCCACGAGGGTCGAAAAAAATAAGCGGTGAAATCGATCCCATAGCGTCTACATCAATACAGCCTTCGGTGACAATTCGTATCCGCACCGAAGTAACTTGCCAACCGTGCAAAATGTCTTTGAGTTTTCAATTTCTGTGCAAAAATTGCCTACACGGCCACTTACGTATCCACACTCACCAGCTGTCCTTTGAGTTCGCTGCTGGCGCGGCCAAAGACTTCGAGTAGGCTACGTACGCTAAAACACTCCACAAGATACAACATCAAAAGCCATGTTCATGTATACTGTAGTGACTTTTCTACTGTTTTGAGCAATGCGCTGGTTTTGTAAAGAACTCCTGGGTTTTTTTTCTCACCGTCTCGCGATAGTTGCAATTGTCAATTCCCTCGCACGTACGGTACGACGGACCACACATGTGTAGCGGCTTTCGAGTTTTCACAACTGGTGTTCGCCAGTAGAGGGCTCACTGCAAAAAAACCCCACTCTGCTGACTTCTTATCTCTTGAGGGCTCACATAGGTGTTTTTTGGAGATTCAGTTAACGTGCCTTATTTTCCAAGAGAATTAACAGTCACTTTAATTTAATATCAGCAGTCGATCTGATACTGATTCAAGATGAGCCAGAAAGATGTTGAGAAAGAGAGCTTCACCTTGTACGATCCTCTCCCACGCAAATTAAAGAAAGACAAGACTCTCGTCCAGGTAGAAATGTTGTTGCAAACTACTCCTAGAACTATGAGGCTCCGCGTCATCACGCATAGTTCTAGGAGTAGTTGCAAACTTGTGCATGGCCTATCATGCCTATGCCATGGGCCTGGCATGATTGCTTGTCGATGTTGTTTATTTATGTCACGGTGTTCAATCAGTGTCAACAGTACAGGTCAATAGGCAGATAGGCCTATTTGTAATACCCTATTTTTATGCGTATTAAAATTAATTAAAGTACTAAAAGGTAGAGAAAAGGGAAGAACTCATAAAGTCCGAAATTGTAAAATGGTCTGATTCCCATCTCGTGAATAAGTTACAACGATAATTTTGGCATGGAGCCAGACTAAAATTTGTCACCGGAAAATGTCTTAGTTCAATAAAACCCAGTAAAGTCTGTGCATGTTCAGTGCATATCCGGCAAGCTAACATTTACTAAAGGTTTGCCGTCTCCGGCTAAATATCCACTGCCTTATTTCAATTGTTATGCTTAGTATGCAAACGACCTTTACCGGGAACTTCCCTAACCTTAAACGTACGCGTAAGTGGTATGTTAAATCCTTACGTCCTTTTGCCGGGAACAAAATTGGCTCTGCATACCAATTTGAGTGGGACGTTAGTGCCCTAGCAACGGGTGTTCTTTTTGCCCCACAAACAAGATGGCCCATAATACCTTGAAAGTGCTATAGTTAAAGACCAAATCCAAATCATTCTGTTCATTTACTTTCATCATCAGATCGGCTGATTTGAATATAAGATTATCTATCTTAGTGTTCATTTCCAGCATTGTCAGTTGTGCATCCTTATCCTGGTATTTTTTAAAGAAAAATTGTAGAATGAAAAACTTCTTTGCAAAATAAACTAGTCAAACTCCATTACCCAATGTACACTAAGCAGTTTTAACACAAGAAAAGTGATGAGATTAAACTTTTTGACAATATTGTCAACCTTGACAGGTTCCCAAGGATCCCAAGCAGTTTGTGACCAGCTTCCTGAGAGCAGCGGCTCCGAGGAAACGGGGTGAGCAGCTGGAGAAGTTATCCTCCAGGAAGGAGATGGTGATGGATGCCGTCAAGCCAAAGCGGAGGACAGAACGACGACGAGGAAGAAAGAAAAAAGCGCTGAGTAATAAGCAGAAGAAAGAGCTCAACATGAACAACATCCCAAAAGAACTACAAAAGTGAGAAACAGGAGAGATTGCATAAAGTATATCTTTGGAGTCACAATATGCAGTTGTATGGGCTCCGTGCGCCGACGAAAGAGGGCGCTTTTAACCTCTTTTGTGAGCCCTATGGACGGGACACATATCGCGTGTGCGTACTGCACTGGTTCGCGCACAAAGTACGCACGACCTGAAAGTGCCAAAGCTATTAGCCACAGCGTCTTCGCATGAGCGTCAGGCATCGTCGGCCCACGAATACATTCAAATTGATCTTTCGATGGTCTCCCAGACTGATCCCTCCCCTAATAACTTTGGATACATTCAAAGTCCGCAGTGGATGGACCGGGAACCAGTCTAGGTCTCCCCAAACTCTCCTTTTCTGACCGTCAAGGGGGACTTGTGCACGGAGCCCCTTAGGCTGTGCGACCGTGTGTATGTTCCATGATGGTGTTCCATGAGCTGGAAGTCAAATCAGTCAGTGAATCAATGCAGCAGTGGAGAAAGTCCATGGGGCTATTCCGAAGAAAAAAAACCCCACACTCTTAACTCCAAGTCCTGCACCCCTGGGTAGCTCCACAGATTTGTGGATCCAAAATCAAAATTGTTTCATTTTACACATTCGGTTCCCTTGAAAAAAAGTCAAAGTCACATAAGTTGAATGGGGGCAACCAAGCGTGTCCACATAGCCAGGGAGTCAGGTTGGCATAGCGGTACTTTCCTCACCTTTCCACCGCTGTGACCCGGGTTCGATTCCTGCCTGGGCCATTATGTGGATCAAAGGTTTTCAGTCTCTGACTGATTCCTTGTGGGTGTTCCTAACAACGGTCTTCTCAGGTTTTCCTCCCACATCCGAAACTGTTTTTTCTTTACATTGTCTCCTCTTTACTGGGCTCCTGGGAGACCACCGGATTATGCTGAATGGGCTACCACGTTAATATAAGAATAAAGTAAATAAGTAAATACATAAATAAATAGCCAGCTAAGAAGTGGATGCATTACAGTGGCTGGGTATTCTGCTATTGTGCCAAGAAATGGAGAGTGATAAAATGTACCAATTTGTATACCAGCTTGGTTGGCTATCTCAGTCTGATTAAATTTGTGGAAAAGATATGCAAAATAAACCCTGCCAACCTTCTCCACCCTATTAGCCGACAAGATTTCCTCAAAACTGAGCAAAGGTTTGTCCAAGGAACTTGGACCCTACTTATCCCCTTTTTTCAATATTGGGACATGGTCTGGCGATTGTAGGGCCCAAGCCGCATGGGTGCCAGTGCACGACACAATAGAAACGACCCAACATCAGATTTCTCCCGCAAAACGGCCACAAAATTACTAGATACGTCACCTAAGGTACAAGTACAGATCGGGGAAAGATTTCCATATACGAAGTTCACTCAACACCCTGTGTACAAACCCTATGAGATTGGACTGAAAAATTCTAAGCGTTTTCTAAGAAAATGCTTGTATTTTCTCACTGCTCAAATTGACTTTGATGACATGAAATTGCTATCTGGGGGCTTGTTAGTCAATGCAGAGGAAAATTAGTGAACTTCGCATATGGTAATCTTGCCCAGATCGGTGACTAACACCCTGGTACTACTCTTTACTTACGATCTGGTTGAAAAGTGAAATTTAACGTTTATCCGTGAGGGCTCCACGTGGACACCATTTTCAAAATGGCGTCTTCACGATACTCGCGATGGAGCCCTCACCGATCAACGTTTTTTGTTGGGTCATTTCGATTGTGTCGCGCGAAGGCGGCCATGCGGCTTGAACCTACTATCGCCAGACCATGTCCCAATGTTAAAAAGGGCAATAAGGGGTCCAAGTTACTCGGACTGAGCAAATATGGGGTCCTAGCTAGTTCACCAACCAAGTCTGACTTTAACGCGAGATTGATTTTGCTTCAACATGTGTCCTAGCTCTTCTTGAGCTACCTGTGTGCTAGAGAGTGATACCTATTTTTTTTCTCGGCAGATATGAAATGTATGAGCCTCTTCACCAGTTGTGGTTGGACTACATGAGGGACAGTTTACAACTCAAAAATCCGACGTAGGTATTCGCGGGGAGGTAAACTACTTCGTGGTGTAGTGTTCACTTTAACCAACCTTGTCCACGTGTGTTCGAGCTGCACTCTGTTTCTGTCACCAGCTCTTCTCTCATGGGGGGGATCCCCCCCCCTTAAGATCTCGGCCATCGAGTGACGAAAATTTTTGAAACTTGGTACATGCATAGAACAACTCATCATGAACATACCCAAAACAATTCATGACTATAGGTCAAAGGGTTTTGGAATTATGGCTAATTAATTATTCATATGTACGAATGGTAATTATGCTCTGTGTACACGACGTCTATGCGAAAATTCAGTTTTCACGGCGCATAGTGCCAGAAAATTTTTCGCTACGCGGCAACCCCTGGTCCAATTTTTATGTTTTTGGTATCAAAAGATGCGCAAGGCTCGAGGCTAAAAAGTCATAACAGCTCAGGTTGCGAAAAATGTTTTTTTTTAAGGCTATCGCGGAAAAAGTTGAGGGGGAGGGGCATATTCCGCCCCCCTCCCCGGCCCTTTTAGGGTTAAAATACTTGAGCGCTATCTGCTATGGAATAGGTTCAGATATTTTGAATGATAGTATGCGCTCGTAGAAGAAAAAAAAAATTTGAAATTGGATGCAGTAGAATTTCACCTTTCAGCTCTAAATTGCAACGCAAGTGTGCAACTAACACAGCTGCCTTGGTGCGGTTTCATGAGGATAAAAAAATTCATTTGGAATTGCAAGAGAGTTTGTGTATGTGCAGTACAAAATGCAATGCTCATTGTTAAAAACTGATTGTGAACTTTGGTTTTTGGCAGTTGATTACAAATGCAGATATGCCAATAGCCATACAAACGCTGTACAAAACTTGGAGCTTTCTATGTGTTTGTTAAAGTTCTCAATTCATTATAAGACGGAATTTTGCGTCGGGGTGATATAAATTAAATTATAGGTTTTGCCCTTCACCGACGTTTAAACACTGTATACTCAGTGTGTTACCTCCCAAGTGAAAGTTGGAAAAAATCACTCGGGTGGGACTCGATCCCACGACCTCCTGCTTTCTAGTGCAGATGTCTTACCACTCAACCACCGAGCTAACGGGATCGGTTGGCTGGTTCGAATCTGATGTACATAGCAGCGGGTACCGCATAAACTATTATAAGATGGAATTTTGCTTCGGGGTGATATAAATCAAATGATAGGTTTTGCCCTTCACCGACGTTTAAACACTGTATACTCAGTGTGTTACCTCCCGAGTGAAAGTTGGAAAAAATCACTCGGGTGGGACTCGAACCCATGACCTCCTGCTTTCCAGTGCCGATGTCTTACCACTCGACCACCGAGCTAATGGGATCAGTTGGCTGGTTCGAATCTGATGTACATAGCAGCGGGTACCGCATAAACTATTATAAGATGGAATTTTGCGTCGGGGTGATATAAATCAAATTATAGGTTTTGCCCTTCACCGACGTTTAAACACTGTATACTCAGTGTGTTACATGTACCTCCGAGAGAAAGTTGGAAAAAATCACTCGGGTGGGACTCAAACCCACAACCTCCTGCTTTCTAGTCCAGATGTCTTACCACTCGACCACCGAGCTAACACACTGAGTATACAGTGTTTAAACATCGGTGAAGAGCAAAACCTATAATTTGATTCTCAATTCATATATGACTATACGGATTAATATCATCATGGGTACTAATAAAACTTTAGGGAGATGCCACGTGGATGTTTCTCTTTCAAGCAGTCGCACTTATTTTCAGAAATTTTTTTGCTTTTTAAAAAATATGTTTTGGTGTACAGAGTGACAGCGGAGAATCTGCACATCAAGTTATTACGATGTGATCTGCATGGGAGTATAATGACAGGTAGGTGTGTGAAATGGGTGTGGTTAGACCATTGTAAATGGGTGTGGTCACCACCAAGGGGCGGGATTTGAAGTCGTTTTGATTGGTGAAGGTGAAATACCTTTACAAAAAGGGTGTGATTCAGATTTTGACTTGTATATATGTAGACTGTGGGTGTGGTCAACCCGGTGACTTGGAATAATTGTGATGGGCGGGGTCACTCATAAAAGGGCGTGGCTTAAATCCAGTTGAAATTGGCCAAACCCTGCCTAATAAGCCTTTTCGGAGTTCCAACTGCGCATTCGTAACCTGTGACAACGCGCATTGTTTGTCTCAAATGGCCTTTGACAACATCGCGCCACTGACTTTACAAAAAGGCTGTTTGTGCATTGTGGGTACTGTCAAAGGGCATTTGAGACAAACAATGTGCGTTGTCACAGGTTATGAATGCGCGCAGTTGGAACTCCGAAAAGGCTTATTGATGGGCTCAACCTATTAAAGGCAGTGGTTTAGGTTATTGTAAGGCTGTGTCCGACTTCACTGGCTACTGCCGGCAATAACGGGCATGTGTATGGGAGGGGGCATCAGCCATTTCCATGGGCGCATGTGTAATTACAAGCTGTCGTCACACAATTCGTCACGTGGCATAAGAATGAGTGAATGGGTGTGGTTCAAGCCATTACAAGGGTGTGGTTCAGACATGGGTAAAAAAAAAAGTTACTCTAATTCCTAGTTTTTTAGAGCTACGTAATCTTATTTACTTGTGTCACAATTTTTTTTTTTTGATACCTAGTGACTAAATCCAAGTGTCCGTCATATATCGGGCAGTGCGGCATCGTCGTTCAAGAATCCAGAAATGCCTTCAAGATGATCACAAAAGCAGATGTTATGAAGAGTAAGTTCCCAGTTCATTCAGTACTTTGCAAATGCAGCAATACCAAGTTGTGTATAATAAATTAATAAATGTTCCACAATTCTGTAGCCAAGATTGCGATATCACTATATCACATGCTTAAAGGTAGCATACAACATTTGCAAACATCAAAAACAAAACCACCAAATTATTATGAAATAGCTTACTTGACTGTTAGTGAATAATAGTCTCAAGCATCCTTTGAAATCATGGCACCTGGTGTTTTGTCATTTTCAAGAAAAGGGGAATTTTTGTATCAATTTCCAACGATGGTCAGCCATCGTTGGAAAAACGGACATTTTTAAATGCTGCCCCCAATTTACCAAATTGAGTTAGTACACACTTTGTTAAACGAATCATCATTTGCTCAACAAATCATCATGTCTCTCCGTTAGTCCGTTAGTTAGTAACAAATGTTGACCTTGTCTATTGCTCCTACATATTTTGACCGATTTCAACCAAACTTTGGCAAAGGTAACAGTAGTTCAGCCCCACCATGTCACATGACCAAACTGGGGTCAAAGGTCATCATGGGGTCACTGGGGTTAAAAGCCTGATTTTTTGTACTCAAAACACTACTCCTTCCAGAAATTACATGGCACAATCACATGACTCGGGCATGAACACGAATTCATTGGCCCGCAGCTTCCGAGATACTTCCTAACAAGCTCTTTTTCTTGTGGCTTAAATTGTGGCTACAGAATAGCAACAAAAATCAAAGCTTAAGGCGTAAAGCCCAATTTTATACACACATCTCGCCACTCAGTGCACTTTGCACAAAACCAGGTAAAATTTTTTTTTACCTGAAGTCCAACACACTCCAACACTTCTTCTTTTGTGCTGACATTGGGATCTTTTCTTTGTCTATACAGCTATACCTAAAGCAAGCACTATCTTCACGATGTCCATCGACAATCTGGTTGTTAATATCTACGGCAACCATCTCAGGTTCCGGGCCGGAGATAGAGCCAACAGGAAATTCAAGGTCAAACCAACGATAGATTTATAAAAAAAGATTGGTAAATAATGTTGATAACCAAAAAATTCTCTATCTTGTATGATTTGTGGGAGATGTAAATTTAATGCTGGGTTTTTCCCTTCACTAAAACCCTAACCCCCTAGTACTTCCTCAGGACTACCCTGCTAAATCCAACAGAGTCCAACCGGACTTTCCTGTTCAATCCACTGTGCCTCATTTTCAGTTGTCTGCTGAATCCAACGGAGTCCAACATGGCGTTATAATGCGGTTCAGTTGCCTGCTGAATCCAACATTTTGCCCGAGGGAACGTGCACAAGGGGTTAACTGCTCAATCCAACAGGCTCCATCGGGTATGTGACATTGTTGGATCCTGCTTGACTCAGCAGGGTTAGGGTTTTAACGCGATATTGAGTGCGATACCCGCTGCTATATCAGATTTGAACTGGCCAGTCGACCCCAGCAAGTTCGGTGGTCGAGCGGTAAGATTTAAGTTGCGATTAATTTTTATTCAAGCTCTTGGACAGCACTGAGCATACAGTTCTGAAGTTTCTTTTATCATGAGCATGAACTCCAAAATTAAAAGCTAAATTGTATGAAGGATCAATTGACAGTATTCAATTTTAATAGTCATTTAATCAACCACATACCTCGCGATCGATTACTTCCCCGGTCCCCCGCGCTTACTCAAGCAGGTACGACTGCGTTTGCTTTAATTCTCGCGCTTACTTGAGACTGGCCCAGGTAACCCACTTGGGTAAGTATCCCACAATGCAATGCAAAAACATGGCGGCTAAGTAACGCTGCGGTGATGGGGGTTTCAAAAGTGTCTCAGCTTCACTTCACACTAGTTCTACTAGACGATGAGAGGAAAGTTAAGTTAATTTGAAACATAGCCAGCATTTCTTGTTCACTTTGAAAGAGCACGTACACTGGCCACCATGGCTCACTTTCGATAGCTCGAATCCATTTGCAAAGGGATTTAATCGCCACATGACCTCTTGACCTGGTCCGGTTGCTATGGATCGATCTTGAATAACCCGAGATCATTCATGGAAAAAATTCCATACTGGCTTACCACTTTACCTGCTGCCAAACACATCAATTTTCATCTCACCTTGTGATTTCACCCAAGAGGAATCCAGGAAGCTCTGGAAATGCGAAAAAAAAATTAGGCAAAATGTGTTTTTAGAGCACATTTTGGATGCACACGTTGTGCAGAACTAAGTTGAAGCAGCCGGTCAAAACTGATTGAAATGTCTGGAAGACAGTGGTACATTATACGCATAACATCGACAACCATGACAACGTATGAGCCGGCCAGTGATAGTGCAACACGTCATTATGAATATTTATTTTCTCATGAATATTTAGTTTTAATATTTCAATGGTACTTCAAATACGTCCAAAGATTGATCATTGCAACAGCGATCGTGCGCGGCCTAGCGGTTAAAAGTCTTGTGTTTCAAGCAAGAGTCCGAGCTTCGAATCTCGATGAAGTAAGTGACTGATTAACAAATAGGAATAAAGGAAAGGAGAGGGTGAGAGTAGAGGAGGGAAAGTGGTAGCCTTGTTCAATGCGGTCTCTCGGCTTTTTGTCGAAGGGAGATAATCGGGCCCTGCACCCGCAATCAACGCGGCTACGTGCGTGTACCACCGACCCTTGTCCGTACGAACGGTTCGGTACTAACACAACCAGCAAGCACACACACGTGAGTACGGACTGTACATGTACGCATGGTGTAATAAGGCAGTAAATGTAGGCCTACTGTGTTCTGCGTGTGGGTGTACGTACGTACGTGTGGGGGATATACGCGCCGCGTGGCCTGTCGAACGACCGCCTTGTTGGGTCTGCAACTTCCGGGTTTAATGTCTTTCTTTACCTTTTCGTCCAGTTTTGGAAAAAAATGGGCGGGCTTCAGGATATGCGGGTATGCCGTGATGATTATGTAGGTTTGTCTTGGACCAATCACATGAAACAACCTTCCCAATAGTATGATTAATTCATTTTTAAGCTGACCAATTGTAAGCTTCACAAGAATCATGTGACGTCGCGCGGCATGCATAATGCATTAGTCATCATGGCGTCTTCCATGTCTTTTTAGCGAGAGCGAAATGTTCGTCACTTTTTCAACAATTTGACATTGATTCGAGTTTTTCGGCTCGTGTAATGAATCCATTTGAGTGGGCAACGATCGTCATCATGACAGCATTACCTGCAGAATTCGTTGGAGCCTTCAATACTGCTTCGGACAGACTGGGACTGAACGACTTTCACCCACAGCAACGGGCCGCCATTGCAGCGTTTCTTCGCGGATGCGACGTGTTTGTTAGCCTATCGCGGGCTGACCAATGAGAATTCAGTATGTACGCGGGGGTGGTACCTCATTACCGTAATAGGTTTTGCTGGGTCAACTCAAAACCATCAAGGCGTTGGGTTACGCGGACTAGCTCATGCATGTACTGTGTGTGCATGGCTGTTGTACATGTACACATGTACGAGTACATGTACGTGTGTGTACGTGCGTACGTGCAAGCATAGCCTGGCTGTATGGTACAAGTTACTTTCTCACTAGCAGCGTACGGGCATCGATATATGTGCACGCAATTATGCCTTGCCAAGTTGATTAGGGATTTTCTTTATCGGCGATTTTTTTTTATCGGCGAATCGATAAGCCCAACGCCTTGGTCAAGGCTAGGAAAGTGGAGGCAATAACCATAAAGGATGCAACTTTTGGCGCTTGAAAATTAATTGAAAAAAGTGGTGATCCAGTACGGAAATTTTGCCTCGTTTGTTTATTGCTACAGATTGTGCATGTTCATCTATACCTAAGATGAGAAGTACGGGTAAGCGCGAGAGAACGGTGATACAATTGCAACCAATTCAACAAAAGTGCCTTCCAACGGAAACATAATTTCTTTTTCTGCTACAAGCCAAACGCTCATAAATGTTCACAGTAAATAAACAACACAGAAAATGACAAGGGCGCATTATTTTTCATTCTTTTTTATTGCTAATAATTGCATAGAAAAACAAATCCAATTAAAAGGTGATAAGTTAACTTGAATGCAAATGAGCAAGCTGTCTCGATATTACGGACGCGTTTTCCGCAATTCCATCTACTTGTGTGAAAATTCCCAAACATTATGAATACATCCATTTCTAGTGACTACAAACAGATAATCAAATATCTTGTGGTGTTTTAGTTTAGTTCTTTTCTGAGGCCCAACTATTTTGAAATATATTTGAGCAGGGACAAAGCTTCACTGCCAAGGCTGTACTGAGTGCTTAAAATGAGTAGGAATATGACTGTTCACACAAATATTTGCAAAAAATACTCCCTTTTTGCTCAAATACTCAGATTTCTACCAATTATCTAAAGCTTGAATACTTTGACCACTCTGTCTAGTCTCCTAGGTTAAATTCCTTCTATACCTGTGTAAATTATGTCCCCCGGAAAAGTGCCAGTCCAAATTATTTTTGAAATAACAACAAAACCACCAAGTCAATTTTGAAAATTGTGAATTGTGCAGATACTCCTAACCCTTGGCCTAAACCCCTATGAGTTTCATTTAATTCCCCTAAATGCTGTCGTGATCAATTTACTATGTGCAGTAAGACGTGTGGGAAATTAAACAACACTCATAGGGGTTTTAAAGGCATAGCCCATCATTTGTAATTTGTGCATTTTGTTCGTTTGAAGCAACAAAAGTTCTCAAAATCTAAAGAACGGTACTGAACAACTAACCTGATGAAGTTTCAGCTCAGCTTCAGTTGTATATATCGAGAAAAACAAAATTTTAGGATCTCGATTTCAAATCAAAAGTTGCTGAATCATGTTTTGAATTGGGCCTGAATTCAGCGTCCGAGACACGTTCTCACTGAGCCGATTGCAGCTACGCGATGTCGCGCACTGATTATAGCAACCACGTGTGCATCGTGTCAACGTTTGTGCGCATCTTGCTGAATTAAAAAACGAACTACTAACGGACATTTCCAACGGTGCGTGGAAAGGCCTTCTTTCGTTGATTTCTTCAAAATGACAGCTTGCCATAAAGAAGAATTTCACAGGGAATTTAGTTCCCTTACTATCTTTCAGTCAAGTATGTTTTTCAACAATAATTACGTCAGTCACTTTTTGGATAGCTGCTAACGATGGACTGTAGCTTTAATAGGCCAACTATTAGGAGTATCTGCACAATTAAACTTTTCAAAATTTACTTCATGGTTTTGTTGTTATTTCAAAAATATTTAGACAGACACTTTTTTTGACATACTGTATATTCAGTATACTTGTCAGGCTTGGAAATAGACTTGATTAAAACACTGGTAAATTTGTGTGAAATGGATCAGGAAGTGAACAGTTAAAAAACCAGCAAAAATGCAGTTTTAATTGGCAGCTTATGAGATTAATATTAACAGCGATCAAATTCCTGTGACATGAATTTTGTGTGCATGACGATTTAGTTTAAGACTTGGCAGATACCCATTCACTACTGTGTGCACGGAGTTATGAAATTGGAACGAAACTTTGTGCACTTGCAAAACACAGTCTTAGTCGTGGCATCATTACTGTGTACGTTGCCATGTTGTTAGGGAAGCACCCATTTAAAGGCATATAATTATTTGCATTTATTCCAAAAGTAACCTTCCGCATTGTTATCGAATAGCTGACTTACATTAAAGATCCTACCGGTACTAAACACCACGTGAAATTATTCAGTCTGGCTTGCCGTCATTTCGAAGAAATCAAGAAGTGTAGGCGATTTCCAATGATCAGTCAAGTGACTGATTTTTGGATATTAAAAGAAGAGTACTCTTGACAAAATCATGTTTCGTGATCAAAAAGTTGGGCACGATTTTTCACTATTTTTGTGTGTGGAGTGCTGTGGCCTCGTGGTTAAGGGCACTGGATTCGTGGTCTGTGGGTAAAGCTGCGGGTTGTGGGTTCGAGTCCAGCCGGGGTCATGGTGCGTGTGCCCTTGAGCAAGGCACTTTGTCACTCATTGCTTCTCTCCACCCAGGAGTAAATGGGTACCTG